CCCCCCGGCAGTGGCGACCTCCCTTTTAGTTTGTGGGCCGTCTCAGTTCTATGTTCTATCCCTGTTTTCTGCCTCCCTTAGCACACGAATTCATTTATATCCTTACCCCCCTCTTTTAGTTATGTCGTATATAAGTGTTACAAAAACTATAAAAGTGTACGTACATTAGTAGAAAAATCATATTATTTGTTTTGATTTACCGTTTATTGTTAGGTTGAAAAAACTTTTTCTCCGAAAAATCAGTGATTCTACCACGCAATTCAACGAAACATTACGTTAACCGGGATTAACCCTCGAAGATAACCGTAGGTAAATTCGACAATTTCTTTTTCCATTATAATAACCGTTGAAATATTATATACGTATAGGGGTTAGAGAGTTGTACAAAATATTAACGGTTTGAGGATGAGCATACTATAGCAATAGTACCTACGGAAACTTTAGGTTGGAATCATTATCAGTGTGTTTTGGAGGAAAGACTATATAATGAATTGAGGAGCAAAAGTTTAGAACCGCTCGCAACAAACGCTAACATTGTCGCCTACCGGGTTCGGAGACTACAACCGAGTCACAACTGTAGTTACCAGGGTCGCAGTATGAAGTAGGAGGAGAGGAAGTGGCAGAGAGAAAGAGGCGGGAAAAGTGAGCCACCACTGTTGGAGAGCAAACTTTAATGGGGCTCCCCCCGCCTCCCCCGGTTAATTGAAACAATGGAGACCGCCGCATTGGTTTGCCCTTGTTGTAGCGTACACTCCGATGTCTAGGGAGACACCACTATCCTTCAGAAGTAACCACCCTCGATTATACGGTCTTCTGTATATCCTTCCGACTCAGTTAACGTCACTCCTCCACTTCCCCCCCCGACTGGGCGGAAGAACAGATCGAGGTGTCGTCGCGGTCCGGAGTCAAAAACACAACCGTCGGCGGCCCTCAGGACATCCCCACTAAAGTTAGTTAACGACGCGGAGAGGTGGAGTGTGGCCTAATTAGGTTTCTTCTCAATTCAAGACGTGCCATTTGGAGCAGCTTTTCCTCTCATGTGTTCAAAGGGCAGTGCTATTTAAAGAGAAGGCGGTAGAAGAAGGAGATAATAAGTTCAACACATCAAAAACATTTCAGACCAAACACTCAGATATTAACTTTTGCACAATGTTGCGCTTTTAATTGAAATGTTTAAATCTTTTTATTTTAGTGAAAATAACTCCGATACGGTAAAAGAGAGTAATAACAGTAGTCTCCCCTTGTCTTCAGTCCCTTGTTGTAACTCTAGAAGTTGAGTCCAGGTGATAAAGAGAGATGAAGTCTGTCCTCACGCCCCCCTCCCCCTCCCTCCAACCTGGTTTATCCTTCCCCTGACACACAATGCCTGCACAAATTGGCAAGCCTGTAAAAGAAGCCTTTTTCTCTTTCCTTCCAAGTGGAACTAATAACCTCACGCAGTAAAATCCCCAGCTGGTACCTGAAGCACCAACACCAATAATTACAGAAACGCTCGGATGTTAGCGTATGCCTAACAGACATTTTCCAGGTTTGTGTGGGGATCACATTCCTCCAGCACCCCAGGACACTGTTCAGCTGGTGCGCTGAGGTAATGTCTTCTCCCAGGCTCTTGTTTCTTCACAATGATTGGATCACTCACAGGAGAATATGTGAAGCTGCGCTGACTTTGAACCTTTGAGTTGCTGTGACTGGTTTCTTTAGATGTTATCTCTCTGGGAAGACAAATAGCACATTTCCTTCTTGTTCTGTATACGCCAGGGGTGTCCACACTATTTTCACTGAGGGCCACATACAAAGGGCTGGGCCCCTCACTAGAGGTGAGGTATACTGCCTCATAGGTTAAATTATAATTCAGCAAAATCAATCAAATGTAGGTAAATGATGCTTTCTACTTGAATATGATTGAAGAAACATCACAGCTCTCCATTGGGTTTCAGTTGCAGCTCATCCCTTAATACGGAAGCCTCAGATTGCTTATAATAAGGGGAAATATGAAGGGTCTTTTTAAAGCTTGTTATGGAAATAAAAGAAAGATTTGTCAGCTCTAATTGACTGAATGTCTTTGAATAGTGGACTTATTAACATATGAAAACGACTGTGTAATATAGGCTCACATATATTTTTAAGAAGTACAATATAAGACAAACATGACTTTCAGGTGGGGGGCCATATACCGTTATACTTTAGGAATTTGCTGATGGCCAATTAGAAATGGACAACAGGCAGCATTTGGCCCCCGGGCCGTAGTTTGGACACCCCTGGTATAAGCTTTGTCTTACAGACTCTCACACATTTGAAGTATATGTGCTTCAGAGAACGGTGTGCTAAAAGTTCCAGGAGCCTGCAGTGAATATTTCCCCTCGGCAGATCCTTCAAATTGAGTATAATTCACAGCGGCAGGATCAGTATTTTCCGTGTTCGCTCCCGGACTCGCCTTTGATTCCTCCTGAAAAGGCGTCAGCATTCTCAGACACTTCCATCTGATGTTTGCCGGAGACATCGTGTCAGATCACATCCACCAGGAGAAACACACACTTTTTTTTCCTGACGCTTTTGACGTTAATCAAAGGCGATTAATCCTCCGCCTCAGATGTGTAGGTTTCCCCCCGGAGGCCCACACAGACACGTTATCTGAAATCACCTTGAACGTTGTTAACCTGTCAGGTGAATATTTGGGCTCTTTGCCTCAACCTGTCCCCGTTTCACTTTTTTTCTCCCCTCAAAAACCCTGCTACGCTTTAACTCGGCAACGTCATTATTTCTCTGTTTATCCATTCTTCTCATATGGCTTATCTTGTTGGTAAACATTCCCAGCCTTTTACTCATAGATGGTGTTTCAAACAAGTGTAACTGTCATCTTGTGTTTATGCTGAAAAGTGGAACTTATTAACCAAAAACTTTGTTTGCTGCGTACTACAGGGACTTGTCTAACAACAGCATCGGCTGTCTCAACGTGGACATCTTCAAGGGCCTCACCAATCTGATCAGACTGTAAGTCCACAGTATTGTTATGAATATATTAGTGTGTGCTAAAACATGCATTTATATAACCCTGTCTTTGTCATCAACCTGGATATATAATCTCTATTTTCCTGCAGAAACCTTTCAGGGAACATCTTTTCCTCCTTGGCTCAGGGGACCTTTGACAGCTTGGCGTCTCTGAAGTCACTGTAAGTATAAAATGAATGAAGATGCATTAATAAACCATTGATTGACACTGTCTGGATGTCAGCTGATCATATTTCTATTTGCTTGCCTGTCAAATTAACACACAGGCTGTGTTCCAAATATAGAAATGTTGCTCCCGTTTCCTTCTGGCAACGTAAAACATGTCGATTGGATTTGTTTATTTCCAGTAACGGTGGACTTTTTTTCATTTTGAGATTTGTTTGAGTGATAGAAAGTATTTTTTCTTGGAGCAGTTTTAGAGAAAATGCAAGCTTTTAAATAGTCAATTATTTGTTTGGAACACAAGTTAGAATTTGTTTTGGGTATGCTGTAAACCATTGTTCTTAGGAAAATCATTATAAACGGGTCAGACTTAATAAAAAAAAATGTTTATATGCAAAACATCAATAACAGATACAAAATGATCAAATCAATTCTTAAATAATAAGTATTAAAGGCATTAAATATGGCAGCAAGGTGGAGGTTTTCCATCAGGCAGAACGCTGTTGGTCTTATAACTTGATATTTGTTGGTTCCCCAACACTTAACATGTCTTGTTTCTGTACCTGTGTGTGTGTCCGTGTCCACAGGGAGTTCCAGACACCGTTCCTGCTGTGTGACTGCAACCTGACGTGGCTGCTGCGCTGGATCAGAGACAGGAACATGGTGGTGAAGAACACAAAGTGCTCCTTCCCTCAGTCTCTGCAGGGCCAGCTCATCACCTCCATCAAGCCCGAGCTGCTCACCTGTGGTAGGGACACACACCCGAACACACACACACAGATTTGACCCAGCTGAAAGATGTCATCCTAAAATAGCAGCACACTCTGATACTGAGCCATTAGTCATTCCAGGGACACTCTCTGATGTGTCTTTTGTCCCGTCTCAGACGTTTTGAAATGTTGAAATAAGTCATGTTGAGTTGTGACACAGATTGTGGTGTCAAACGGTGGCCTGCCTCTTTAATTTCTCTATTTTGGTATCAGAGAGGGGGAGCGGAGGGCTTGTGCAGTGACAGGAGATAGGAGAAGGGCCGGGCCAGTGTTTGTACTTGCTCATATCTTATCTGTGAGGCCGTCATCACGGTGAGGGATTATGAAATACAGGGAACAGGTTTAGCAGGAGCCGTGGCCTCACATACATGAAATATTACCCAGAATTCAAGGCACTGTTTTGTTTTTGACACTAAAAGGAGAGTATGTCCAGGGGCCTCATTTATAACGCCGTGAGTAGGATTCACGTGGGAAGGTTGCTTACGTAGTAGAAATCCAAAAAATAGGTACAGAAATGTTCCGACATTTTCCGATTTCACCAAACATTGCGTACCGGCGAGGAAAGTGCGTACTGCACTTTCCTACGCCGGTTTCCCTTTATAAATCACAATCGACTCGAAATGTGGTGCAGCTTTTGCGGGCTTCACGTAACGCCCATATTTGCCTATAAGTAGTCAAACAAAACGCCCTTTCATTCATTCATTTTGACTGACTTTACGAAGAAGATCGCAGGAAATGACGACAGAACAGCTAAAAACACCGTGTCAGATTTTGGTTATTTTGGGGAGGTCGAGATAAATCTTATTGTTTGGTGGATGCAGTTTGAACCAGAGTAGCAGCATGGAGGTCGGATCGTCACCAAAATAAATAAATAAGTGGTCCGAAAAAGGTTAATGACAAAAATAATACACATAGCCTTCCTCAGGCAGTGTGTTTGTAGCGGGGACAGGAAACTGTAAGAAATGATCGGGGAATCCCTCCGGAGTGGAGTCATGAGACTGGATCTGAATTATTTTTTTGTATTTGGTGGTTTGCGTCCCAGCTGTCGATCAGCTGTGCGCAGCGTCTCCACTGCAGCCTGTTCATCTCAACCCCACCCCCGCAGCAACTCTATATCCACCAGTTAAAGGAAATACAACTAATGTGTTGTGTTATATTAGCTGTACAATTTACCACATATGGTATTCTTAGTTTCCATACCTCCTGTGTTTTACGAGCGACTTATCAAGTCTTGGCAAACGGCATAAAACCAACCCAGTCTCACAAAAAAACGTGTAATAACTACGTTGATCCACAAATTGGGACGTAGTATTTCTACAAAAACGCCTCTGAAATTGTAGGATCCCTACATTTTTTTTCACCATTAATTTCCAATGGCTGGCGTCTATGTCACGTGATCTTCAAATTTCTCCCTGCAGAAAAAAAAAACATGGCCGAACTTCGTTTTATTCTCGGTGGAAAATGCCTATTTTAAGGTTAGTTTGGCCATTAAAATGCGTTTTGATGTAATTTGATGCGAGAAATATGAGTTGTTATTGTTAACGTTTTCATTGTTACTGATACGCAGAGTGAAGCAGGTAGGACCCAAACGCATATAACATTTGATAATACCTTTATTTCAAGGTCTTGAGTAAACCTGGAACAAACAAGCAGACTCAGTTGGGTAACGAAGACGGGGTCAAGGACGGGAGGACAGGTCCTCAGCGAGGGAGGAGAGCCCTTGAAGCAGACCGAATACCTCCTCCACGGGTGTCTCGTAAGTCCGCCGACGATTCTCTTCCTCAGCGGTTCCGGTCGAATCGTCGGGCTCGGAGTTCTCGGTCCAAGGTTCGGGGTCAATGTCCCGGGGTCGTCGGTACCGAGGATTACGAGGTCATGCCGGGTGTGTCGTACCAAAAGTCACGAGGTCCATGTTAGGGTGTGTCGGTATCCAGGGCACAAGGACCAAAGGCAACGGTCGGTCCGGGTCCAAGACCGAAGTCATGGCCGGGATCAGGGTACAAGGCTGAGTCAAAGACCCGGTAGGTCCTCACCGAATGGCCGTTGCGTCGAGGGGCTCAAGACAGCCGCATGGCCGTTTGCGAGTCGAGGGGCTCAGGACAGTGCGTATGGGCCGGTGAGTCCGAGGAGCAGAGGACAACCACAAGTCGGCTGTGGTCGAGGGCTTCAGGACACCGGGCATGGCCGGCCTGAGGTCGTGGAGCAGAGGACAACCGAGAGGTTGGCTGAGTCGGTGGGGCACAAGACAACCGCCTTGTGTGCAAGTTCAGGGAGTTGCAAGGAAGAGTCAGGGGAAGTCCCGGTGTAGAGGTGCAAGGGAAGAGCTCAGGGAGAGCACTCTAGGGTAGAGCTCAGGGGAAAGTTCTGTGAAGAGTTCAGGTAGAGAGTTCAGTGGAGATGTTCAGGAGGAGAAGTTCAAGGACGAGTTCAGGGGAGAGGTCAGAGGAGAGTCAAGCGATGGGCTCAGGGGAGAGTCTTCAGTGGAGCACTTCAGAGGAGAGCTCAAAGGGAAAGTCATAGGAGAGCTCAAGGGAGAGCTCAGAGGAAGTAAGGGAGGGTTCATAGGAGAGCTCAAGGGAGAGCTCAGAGGAAAGTCAGGGGAGGCTCAGAGGAAGAGTTCGAGGGAGAGCTCAGGAGAAAGAGCTCAAGAGGAGGAGTTCAGAGGAGAGTTCAGAGGAGAGTCCAGGATGGGCTCAGGGGAGAGTTCGGTGGAGAGTTCCGCAGGAGAGCTCAAGGGAGAGTTCGATAGGAGAGCTCAAGCAGCGAAGAGCTCAAAAGGAGAGCTCAGGGGAGAGTCAGAAGGCAAGTTCAAGGGAGAGTTCCTAGGGAAGTTCAGTAGAGAGTTCAGAGGCAGTCCTCAGAGGCAAGTCTCAAGGGAGAGTTCTAGGGAGAAGTTCAGTAGAGAGAGTTCGAGTGAGGTTCAAGGGAGAGTTCAGGGGAGAGTTCAGAGGAGAGCTCAAGGGAGAGTTCGGCGAGAGGCTCAAAGGGAGAGGCTCAAGGGATAAGCTCAGGGAGAGTTCAGTGGAGAGCTCAAGGGAGAGTTCAGGTGGCGAGGCTCAAGGGAGAGTTCATAGGAGGGCACAAGGGGAGAGGTTCGAGAGGAGAGTTCAAGGATGGGCTCAGGGGAGAGTTCAGTGGAGAGTTCAGAGGAGAGCTCAAGGGAGAGTTCATAGGAAAGCTCAAGGAGAGCTCAGAGGGAGCTCAGGGAAAGAGTTTCAGGGGAGAGTTCAGAGGCAAAGTGCAAGGGAGAGTCCAGTAGAGAGTCAGTTGAGAGTTCAAGGGAGAGTCAAGGGAGAGTTCAGAGGAGGCTCAAGCGGAGAGTTCGGGGGGAGTGCGGGAGAGAGCTCAAGGGAAGCTTCAAGGGATAGAGCTCAGGCTGAGAGTTCAGTGGGAGAGCTGCAAGGGAGGTTCGGGAGGGAGGGGCTCAAAGAAAGAGCTTCCAGGGGAGAAGTTCAGAGGAAGAGTCAAGGGATGGGCTCAAGGGGAGAGTTCAGGTGAGAGTTCAGTGGAGAGCTCGAGGGGAGGGTTCAGAGGAGAGTTCAGGATGGGCTCAGGGGAGAGTCAAGGTGAGAGTTCAGGTGGGGAGCTCAAGGGAGGAGTTCGGGAGAGCTCAAGGGAGAGTTCGGGAGAGAGAGAGCTCAGAGAGAGCTCAGGGAAGAGTCAGGGGAAGTTCAGAGGCAGTTTCAGGGAGAGGTCTACGGAGAGTTCGGTTGAGAGTTCAAGAGGAGAGCTCAGAGGAAGTTCAAAGGAGAGTTCGAAGGGAGAGTTCAGAGGAGAGGCTCAGGGGAGAGTTCGGGAGAGAGCCAGGAGGAGAGCTCAAGGGATAGCTTCAGGTGAGAGTCAGTGGAGAGCGTCAAGGGAGAGTTCGGGGAGAGAGCTCAGAGAAGAGCTCGAGGGGAGAGTTCAAAGGAGATTTCGAAGGATGGGCTAAGGGGAGAGTTCAGGTGAGAGTTCAGTTGAGAGTTCAAGGGAGAGTTCAGGGGAGAGTTCAGAGGAGAGGCTCAAGGGAGAGTGTCGGGAGAGAGCTCAAGGGAGAGCTTCGAAGGGGATAGCTCAGGGGAGTTCAGTGGAGAGCTCAAGGGAGAGTTCAAGTGGCGAGCTCAAGGGAGAAGTTCATAGGAGGGCACAAGGGAGAGTTCCAGAGGAGAGTTCAAAGGATGGGCTCAGGGGAGAGTTTCAGGGGAGAGTTCAAGAGGGAGAGCTCAAGGGGAGAGTTCACTAGGAAGCTCAAGGGAGAGCTCAGAGGAGAGCTCAGGGAAGAGTTCAGGGAGAGTTCAGAGGCAAGTTCGAGGAGAGTTCAGTAGAAGAGTCAGTTTGAGAGTTTCAGGGAGGTTCAAGGGAGAGTTCAGACGGAGAGCTCAGCAGGGAGAGTTCGGGAGAGAGTTCGGGAGAGAGCTCAAAGGGAGAGCTCAAGAGGGATAGCCCAGGTGAGAGTTCAGTGGGGGGAGCTCAAGGGAGAGTTCGGGAGAGAGAGCTCAAAGAAGAGCTCAAGGGGAGAGTTCAGAGGACGAGTTCAAGGATGGGCTCAGGGGAGAGTTCAGGTGAGAGTTCAGTGGAGAGCTCCGGAGGGAGAGTTCAGAGGAGAGTTCCAAGGATGGGCTCGCAGGGGAGAGTTCAGGTGAGAGTTACAGTGGGGAAGCTCAAGGGGAGAGTCGGGAAGGGCTGCAAGGGAGAGTTCTCGGGAGAGAGAGAGCTAGAGGGAGAGCTCAGGGAAGAGTTCAGGGGAGAGTTCAGAGGCAAAGTTCAAGGAGAGGGTCTACCGAGAGTTCGGTTTGAGAGTTCAGAGGAGAGCTCAGAGGAAAGTTCAAAGGAGAGTTCAAGGGAGAGTTGAGTTCAGAGGAGAGCTCAAGAGAGTTCGGAGAGAGCTCAAAGGGAAGAGCTAAGGGGATAGCTCAGGGAGAGTTCCAGTGGAGAGCTCAAGGGAGAGTTCGGGAGAAGAGCTCAGAGAAGAGCTAGGGGGAGAGTTCAAGGAGAGTTCAAGGATGGGCTCGCAGGGAGAGTTCAGGTGAGAGTTCAGTGGAGAGCTCAAGGGAGAGTTCGGGGGAGAGCTCAGAAGGAGAGCTCAGGGAAGAGTTCAGGGGGAGGGAGAGTTCAGAGTCAAGTTCAAGGGAGAGTTCTGGGAGAGTTCTAGGGAGAGTTCGTTAGGAGAGTTCAGTTGAGAGTTCGAGTTGAGAGCTCAGAGGCAAGTTCAAAGGAGAGCTCAAGGGAGAGTTTCGGGCAGAGAGCTCAAGGTGAGTTTAGGGATGGTTCACGGCAACCTCAAAGGCGGTTGAGGTACAGAACGGGCAACCTCAAGGGCGTCTAACGAGAAGACGGCCGCCAGGACGGTGTTGGGGTACAGGACACGGCAACCTCCAAGGCGACCCCAGGACGGTGGGTATACAGGACACGGCAACCTACAGGGTCATGATGAGAAGAACGGCCCCAGGATGGGTTGAGGTACGGAACAGGGCAACCTTCCAGGGCGTCCTGATGAGAAGACGGCCCCCAGGACGGTTTGGGTACAGGACTCGGCAACCTCCAAGGCGTCTGGATGAGAAGACGGCCCCAGAGGTTGAGGTACAGAACAGGGCAACCTCAGGGTGTCTGACGAGAAGGCGGCCCCAGGCGGTTGGGTACAGGACCGGCCAACCTCAGGGCGCTGATGAGAAGACGGCCCACAGGAGGTTGAGGTACAAAACAGTAAACCTCCAGGGCGCTGATGAGAAGACGCCACCCAGGACGGTTGGGATACAGGGCACGGCAACCTCAAGGCGGCTGACGAGAGGACGGCCTCCAGGACAGCCGGGACACAGGGGAAGGCACGCCCTAGAACGGTTGTGGCCGAGGACGGGCCGGAGGCCTCGACAGGCCCGAAGCGGGGAGCTCGGGCCAGGGACTCAAACGGGCGCACAGAAGTGGGGAGGAGAGCTTGAGACGGAACGGGGCCCAGGCAGGCGGCTCTGGGGGAGGAGCTTGAGACGGAACGGGGCCCGGCAGGCGGGTTCAAGGGGAAAAAATTGAGACGAACGGGGGCCCGGCAGGCGGGCTCAAGGGGTGGAACCAGAGACGGAACGGGGGCCGGCAGACGGGCTCTGGGCAGGAGGTCTGGGGGAGGTGCGGTGGGACGACCTGAAACAAAAACACCCTCGTAGAGCCCTAGGCAGGGAAACCTCCCCACCAAATACAGTGTGAGGATTCAAGTACAGTGCCAACATCAAACATCCAAACCCACAAAACGACCAAAAAGGTACAGTCAAGCACTGAAGCAAGTGGCA